CTCTCTCTCTGTCTCTCTCTCTGTCTCTCTCTCTGTCTCTCTCTGTCTCTCTCTCTCTGTCTCTCTCTTTCTCGTCGATCAACTCCAGGCGAATTCAGGAGCAGTATCCTAACAAACGGGCCACGGACCGCGCACGATTTTTCCTTCCTCCTCCTCCTCCTCCTCCTCCTCGTCTTATCATCCTTCACAAACACGCGCTTACATGCAATACACTATCACACATGTCAGAAAACCGCTCGGGAACTTTGAGTTTGTCCCGGCTGGGGCTGTGCTCTGCTGGTAGGCGACACCTGGTTGGGGAAAATCCCTCTCGCCGACGGTAGGTCGGCGCTGGATCTCATCATCCAGCGGAGGAAGTTCACGGCTAACTCCCGAGAAAAAATGCACTATACTTGTGGAACCAATGACCTTAGCTGCTCACGCGCCGGGAACCACCAATCAATCCCTTTCCCTCCTTTTCTCTGTCTTTTTCTTTCTCCCTTTTTCTTTTTCCTTTATTTTTCTCTACTCTTTTCCCCCTCTTTATCTCGTTATTTCTTTCTTCATCTCTCTCCCTATCACTCCATTTATTTACCCCACTCTCTTTCTCGTTCCCTTGGCTGCCTCGACGATAATTTGATTTATGCGCTGCGACGACATATGTGTCATTGGTCAAGATCGCTAACGATTCGGCACACCACCCTCGTGATTCTCAGTTGACGTATGGGGACGTTAAGGGCCGGGTTCTGTTACGTATTGATTGTATGTATGCGTCAAGCGAGTGTGTCATTTAAATATTATAAATATTTTATTTTTTCACAACCAATCGAAATGCCATCACTCGTTCCATTTTCATTAAAGCTTATGGTGAGATCACAAAAAAATGATTCCCACAAAAAGATTAAAACCGTTCCTTCTTATTAAATTTGTTCGTATGAAACTGAATTACTTCTATCACTGTGTCTTAAGGGAGATCAGTTACGACGAACTACTCAAAGTAAGCTTTAAAAAAGTAAAATATACTTCAGAACATATAAAAGGATCTTAAACATTTTATAAAATGATAATTTTGATCATTTATTTAGTCTTTTGAGTTATCACTAACTTAAAGTTACAATTTTTAATATTCGATGTTTCGCCCGTTAAATATGACTTCTCTTTTTTCTCAAATTCGTATCACGCGGTCCATTTCGCTGTTTCGTTCAAATCTTGAAATGAGAAATCAGTATTTATCGTATTTCATTTTTCAAGTTGGTAATAAGCTTGAAAATTGATCATTTACAGCCAAGTACGTTGTTGTAGAGATTCCTTTGCCTAATGTACACATACATATGTTTTATAAGATTCCTTCGGTGCTTTTTCTAAGAGAGTCACAATGGCCCATTACTTCAGTATCTCAAATGGCATCTCACTGCCTAGCAACGAAGTGCATTTCTCAGTGAGAAAATTTCGCCTATCCACCTCTTCATCTCGAAGCCATTCTCGTTATAAAGGACACTTTTAGCCGCCGCCTCCTCGACGTTTATGCAAGCCCTGACGTGTTCATCCCCGGCGCGGGCGGCGGGGGTGGGGATGGGCAGCACGCAATCTGGAAGACGCCTTCTCGCGCGGCCTGTTTCAGTGTATTTCTGTCGGCTGTCGCGTGGAGATCGACTCGGGTCACGAGCGACCGGAAGACCCGCTCCTCTCCGGGCATGTGTGTGACCGTCGAGAGGCAGTTGTTTCTCGGGCATTATGGCGGTAGGACGTTTTCAAACGTCGGCCTCCTCGAGGGCTTGAAAATGCCGAAGAAGAGGTCAAATGGTTTGGGTTGATTCTAATATTCAAAATCTAATGAACCTTACGTAATTAAGGGTTCATTTTGCTTCTTTTTTTCTCGCGATTTAAAATGTGCCGTTTCTGTTTAGAATGAAGATTCTTCAAGCAAAATGTATTTCATGTCAGTTGTGTTTCAAGTGAGGTGCTAATGTGAGATGTGATGTTTGCAGTTGTGCTATGTAGTATTGTGATTATTCCATTTCCCAAGGTGTCAAATTTGTTTTTTCATTGTATTTGTAAGAATCTGGGTGACACAATGATATCTCGTGTGGCGTCGATAACCTTTAGTGATGTGGACGAACGGGAGCTGTTACCAGAAGTCGTAACGAGACAGGTAAATGCAAGCAACGGCTTAGAATATCGTACTGTGGTCTGTGTCGACAATCTTAAATGCGAGGTTTTGTAATCTAAATAACTGGTCATAAATTATACCTTCATACATTTATTAAACTGTCATTTTAGACATGCAATCCATCTTGAGTTAACAAGGTTTTTTGAGATATACATGTGTTATACCATGTAATGGCAGTTTTTTTGTTAAGTCACAAATTTATTCAAACGTATTCTTGAATATAAGATGTAATGTTCACTAGTTTCAGTACTCCGGAATTTCCTTTCATTAATTGTCAGAAGTACTTCTCCGAGAAATTTGTCTCGACGATAATACCTCAGTGTGTCGACATGAAAAATTACAATGAGGGAACTTTCTTCTTTTACCTCCCTCTGTCATCACATTGCATATTCAACTCAGTTACGAAAAAAATATATCGATTCCTATAATACGGCACCGTAGAGTTGAGAAAAAGGCACGAATTAATAACGGCTCTTTCAATATAATTTTTCTTTCTCTTGACTTTCTGCTTTAATGATTGTTATTTTCTATTAAAATATTTTTACCCCTCCTCGAAAATTTAATCTCGAGTTTCTCAGTAACTGACTCAATTTCTAAAATCTGTATTACGTACCTCTTTTTTAATATTAGTAAATGAAACATGTGTTTCATCAAAAGAGCTCGTGGTTTTTATTCTCCCACATGTTAATTATTACAATGTGGTCCAAGTTTAACACCGGTATGAATTAATGTAATACTTTGTATTGTGTGTGCTTATTTCCACAGACTGAACTGGATGTGAGTCCACTTCCTCCTCATTCTAAGACTTTGAATCTTCGTATTAGAAATGTGAAGTGTAATATGAAATGAACAGGACTTTATAAACTCAAGTTTTCTGAAAATTAATTTCTATATTTTGTATGTATTATAACAGAATGTTTTCTCTGCATCAAAATTTGATTTTACTTCAAATTATATCTAGTTAGTTAAATAATTTAAAAAATCGTAGAGTACTCATTATCATCTCCATGTTTTTCTTCACCTTACCACATTTTTAGAAGTACTCGTATTTCGTGAACATCTAGAATTTTCAAGTAAATGTCAAAATATGTGATTTCATCCTACAACATCAAACAAATGTAAGAATTAAAATGCTTATTATTGTGATGTCTTTTAACCTGTTTTAACACAGACAGTAGTAACTTTCACACGAATCCGGGCTACTTCTTTCAAATTCAAGATTCTATTATTTACTTATATTTCACTTTTTAATACCTTATTTATAAAGTATTCAACAACGTTTTATTTAGTTATTAATTTAATTTCAACATTAAATGTCCTTTGTTTAAAATCCGTTCATTATATTTCATTCTTAACAGCAGTTGCGTCTCTACGTTACCTAATTCTTTGCCATTTCAGTTACGGTTTCTTTTTAAAAACAAACTATTTGATTAGTTATTCCCAATTTTTAAAGATCATCTTTATAAGATTTAGGTAATCTGACCACTTTTAATAAATAAATTCTCCTGAATCCTTCATTAATTAAATACGAGTAAGTTGTATTTAAGCGTTCGTCTCAAACGTTTGGAAATTTTAAAGTAGAAAATAATTTTTTCTTTGTTATTTGTGACACATCGTAAATTTTAGAAGCAAAGTTTTAAAAAAATATTTTTCAAAACTACTTTTGAAGAGTGTTATGATTTTGAATTGCCAAAGAGATTATATCGCCGACTTTGTGTTTTCGATTTCTTCTGATACCACGTTTCGACTTGTGCTATTTCGGTGGCCTTGAGCTACTTTGGTATCCCAGATCGATGACTGAAGACAATCATTTCAGAATTGTTCTAATCGGGATTACTTTATACTTGAATATCTACGAAATAACTAGATTGTGATTATTCTTTTTAAGTGGTCAACATAGTTCTTACATTTAAAAAATTCTTCAAAATATCAGATTTCGAAGAATGTTGATGAATGTTAACATATATTCCGTACTGTTAATTTCTCGCTATTCTCATTTCAATCTTTTCATTTTATTTGGTGACGAGAATAGTCAGAGCTTTACATCTAGGACCCTTTTGATACGTTAACGAAAACAAGGGATATTATTTGCAGTAATATACAAAGTAATTACTGCAAGTTACAGAAGATTTACATACAGTTACGATCTAAGAAATTATTTAAATTTTGGTGCAAATTCAATATCTAATAAATCTTAATTATAATGGTATAACAACTTGGATCCTTTAAATTAATGTTATATAATAGTTACATCTTATTTTTTATGCTTCACGCGCATTTTATAAAATGTATTTCATAATAATTATAATAATAATAATGTTTCAGTTTTTTTAATAACCGCTGCTTTCAACAATCTTCGATTCCACTACAAATCGATGCGCCAAATACATGTGAATTTGGACATCTGCATACTGTGAAATAAAATTTTCCATTTTATAAAATCAAAGTGGTATTTCACCATACAACTACGAGTATTGGATAGCTTATCTAATTAAACAGAGCACTGTGTTGTCACCTACGAATTCCCTATTCCAAGCTGCCTGTCAAATTCTTCTCAAAACATGCCATTGTGATTTTCCTCATCACGCGATGTCAATTCTATTTAAAGTGTGATGGTTCAGCGTCTCTTACTAACAAGTACAACAACCTCCGTCATTAACGTAACATAATTATGACATTTTCCTATTTTTATTCTTTTAGTTTTGTATTTGATTTTAAATATTTTTATTTCATACAAAAACTTTACGATTTTTTTAAGTATCTACTAAGAAAGTTTCTGGCTAAATAAATAATTAGATGCGATTTTTCTTTATGAGATCGGAAATAAACTTGTCTGTCTAGGCATTTTAGAGACAGCTGCTTCTTCTTGTTGGTTGGTTGTTTCCATTCCTTCTTCTCTTCAAAATTTGAAAATGAAATCACTCAGTTAAGAATTACCGAATAAAAAAAGGTTTTCAAGACTGTAAATTTCAAGTATATTTGCACTTCTCGATGAAGTAAAATTATCCATCATGTGTATCAAGTGAAGTACGAGAATCATGTGACGAGGTTTTGAAGAACTTTTAATTCTTTTTTCGTTCATTTAGAGAAGAGTATATGAAATTCTTAAACCATCGTCAGTAAATTCATTTAGGAATTCCTTTCGAACTTTGTCAGCATTAAATTAGCAATATAACACCACAAGGGCATTCTATTTTGATTAACATGTTAAAGAAACAGAGTTGTTTATTGTACTAAATCAGTTTTATTATTTAAAACAAGAATCGTTTCCTGCTTCACAAGAGTAAATAACTTTTTTCTGAGTCTACGCGAATTTCAGTTCAGTTAATATCCGCGTATTTGCGTGTATAATTATATCAATCATCTTCCATTAACCCAATTGATTATCACATGGCGGCAGCATCCGCCAAGGATTCCTTTTTTTTCATTGTCAGTTTCTATATTTTTCACATAATTAGTCAAATAACGAAGTAAAATCTGTTATATGGGAGGAAAGACTAACACTGATATAGTTAATTTTTTATAAGAGATAAAGTTATGAGACAAGATTAATAGATAGAATATTTCACTCCAAAAAAATTACAGTCATGTACACAAACAACCAGTTCAGAAAAAAGCATCATTATTGATACAGAAAATAAAATAACAAAAGATAACTTACAAATAAAATAATTATAATTAATAGCCTAATATATAATTTATTTTATAACTTTGATCCCACAAATCAACATTCTTATTAACTCAATAAAGCTAAATAAAACAAAAAAATCCCACGCAAAATCATAACATTTAAAGAAAATTAATTCACAAATAATATTAAAAAATATTCAGGAAAATATCTAGGAAAATAAAATATAATAAATATTCAAGAAAATAAATACAATCTATAAGCAGTTCCAAAAAAAAAAGATGTTAAAGCAACCAAAAATATTCATCATCACTTCCATGATATAATTCTATTAATTAATCTAGTTTCCGTTAATAGTTTTAAAGAAGGAGAAACTGCCATATTAGATGATCTAAGTAAAAATCATCATAATGTCATTCTAGGTATTAAACATACCTTATTAATAATTAATCTACGTCCTCCTAATCGCTTATAAACAATATTAGGTAAACAAAATAAACCATATCAACATAATCCATACCCAATTATTATCACCCCATTGATTTGCAACATTAAGTTTATTGTATATTTTTTTCGATATCTTGATTTAATAAAAAATCCAAAGCTACATTGTCTAGCTTCTTGGGCGCGCTATGGTTTTCTCACAATTTTATTCCATTACCAGAAATATTGATGCATTTGTTCAACCCGTACGGATTATCCCAACAATGAAAATCATTATTGTAAAAGTGAAAATGCTTTTTCTCTGGAAATCAATTTTGAGCGTTTCTAATAATCGCGCAATGGTGGTGGTGCTAACAAAACTTTATTAGAATCTTTAATACGGAGTCGTTTGGAATATTTTGCATCTGAATATATCTCGCGTCACTTTAGAAACATGGAAAACCTGGTTTAAAGGACTAGGACTAATATATTATGCGTGATGCACAATTGTAACGCGTGTTGCGGCGTAAGTGTTTTGCGGGTTGCATGCGCATCTATTTCACTTGCGAAGTTCTTTTTTCTTCTTAAATCCCTTTGAAGACCACCTGACAAGTAATCTTTTTGATGTAGCACTCACGAGAATTTGTGACGATTGAGTCGAATGAATGGTACACAGCAGACATTCTTCCACAGAGTATTATCTACACAAGGGATAGATCTCACCACGTGCTGTCAGAGCCCAGTCACCCACACCCCCGTAGCTTCTCTCTTCCGCACCGCTTCCCCAGAACCCCAAGCCGCCACCCCACACAAGGAACCAATCGGAGACTGCGATTCGACAACCATTGCGGATGTTTTGGCCGGGCTGCTTTGGACGTCCTCCAAGCCCATAAAGAAAAATTACTTCGTGTAGTAAAAGGGAGGGGCGTAGCATGCCAGAGATTCGCCCTTCCATTTAGGTTTTTATTGCATGGTGTTTTCGTATAAAGATGACAGACCACGAGGCGAAAACCCTTGACTCAGCGATGGCGTACTGCTCCCCCAGGAAGGTCTAAAGTGTGTCGCTCCGATGGCGTGATGGATAAAGCAATTTAGCATTCACTGCTTTTAAAGGAACTCTGGAATAATTTATGGGTGGTAATAATATGTATGAGCTATTCTGTATCAAGAGGAAACATATTTTCTGATTTACGTAGTATCTGACTTTGTCTTGTAATAGAAGACTTACAAACAACATAATAGATTTTAATACAGTTTATTTTACGGAACGGTAACAATTTACGAAATTGCATTTGAGTTCTATCATTTTCGGGGAATTATTCGTAAAATCAGTTGTAATATCATTAAGAATCGACTGTTACATTAAATAAGATTCTAATATCCAAGAATAGTGTAAACGTGTCAAAGATAATAGTATTGTAGGTTATTTAGAAAATTGTTTTATTGGTGTAGAATGTATTTAACTTAATGTTATTGATATAGTATATATCACACATTTTTCAATATTTTCTAAGAACAATTACGTACTCCCCTTATAATTTATCTCATTTTAATTGTGTTTTTCTCGCTCAATATCATTGCATTTGACTAATATTTCGAATTCACAAATTTATTTCGGATTCTTACGTTTATGACCTACAATGTTGTTTTTAACAACTTTGTCTTTCTCGATAATCTTCCACAAAAATAGAATTTTACTTCTCCTTCGATTTCAAAAGTGAATTTTCAACCCATCGCCATACAAAATATATTTTATACAAATGCCTATTTATAAACAACCCCTCAAACCTTATAATTATTACCTAAGTATACATAGGACGTCAACTCACTATAGAATCAGAAAAATCACAAACTCCAGATACACAAATATAATGTAAAGAATTGATGACTAAGGCAGATATTAGAGCAAAGTAGATAGCATAATATAGGTAACATTTTCGCTAACCTTTGAATTTTCAAAGATTTTCTAAAGATCAACATTTTTTC